AAAAAAAAAAAAAAAAAAACTACCACATGGGAACCCCCCTGCTGATTCCTCTCTATGTCTTCTATGTCTCTTGAAGGAAATCTTTCTTCCTAGAACACAAGAGGTGAGGAACCTCTCCCCCATAACAAAATTTCTTTAAAATTTCTTTAAAATAAAATAATTTCTTTTAAAATAAAATAATTTCTTAAAAAAAATAATAATGATGTTATTTTAAATGTAAAGATCAAAAATAAATATCACTATTTTGTGAAAAATCATGAACTGAAATCCCCTTTAGTGCACGATGAAAAAAGTATTCTATGTAATTCTGCTCTTTATACCATAGCAATTCTCCTATCACAGAGGGAAAAAAAGGGGAAGTGAGTCCCTCTACTGAGTATCTACAATTTCAGTAAACCAGGCAGGAGGTGGCCTACCCCACTGTAGTATTTCAGAGCTCCTCTGCAGACATAGGCACGCACACTCTCAGGATAAATACTGATTGCCTCATTACAGTTCAAAATTGCTTTGGAGAATCTGCCTTTTAAACCATAGTAGGCTACTCGGCCTAAGTATGCCTTTCAGAGAAAGAGAAGAAAAAGCAGAAATAGAGGTTTTAGTGAAATCATCAGTTCTACCAAAAATCTATGAACAAATTTATGCCACCCAAAGACATAAAAGATGTTGGAATATCATGCCATCATAAAAATTATATGTCCAAAGACAGTATTAAGATATACACTTTTACCCCACTCTGTTATTAGAAAAAAATTCAAACATATAGAATAATTGAAATGATAGTATAATGAACACCCGTGTATCTATCACCTGGATTCAATAATTATTAGCACTTTGTTTGCCATATTTATTTTATTTTTTCCTTAAGTATGGAAAAACAAGTTGTAGCCATCAAAATTTTTCACCTTGTGGCCTTCAGTATGCATCTACTATGGAAAAAAGACATTGCCCTAAGTAACTACACTGCCATTATATCTCTAAGAAGATTTCTAGTAATTCCCTAAAAGTATCCATTATTTAGCCAATTCAAATTTAATTTCATCGTCTGCTAAAATCAGGATCCAGTCACACTGCACCTATTAAATTTTGTGTTGTCTCCACAGTCTATTAAAAGACAGAAATAAATGTGATAGCAAAATAATAAATAAATAAAATTAATAACAGTATGTAAATTAAAATTATTAACACAAAAATTAATAAATTAGCATATTTACATATATCCAAACTCACAAAGCACTTGAATAAACATAATATCTCTGTTGGGAAAAAATATTTAGTTCAAGAAGAAATATAGATATATGGATTGTGAAAAGTATGTACAGATAAAATACAGATATATGTTTGTGGAAAAGTACGTACAAGTAACCAATTGTTGCTAACTAATAGCAAAAGCATATAAAAGATTTAATAGTTTTACCAAAATTAACAAATTTTCCAAATCATTATCATTATGTATTTAAATACCTGGTAGTGTTTCGGATTGATCGTAATTGCACGATTGAAGTCCAGAACTGAGCTTTCCTTGTGGAGTTTTACTTTACAAAACCCTCGTTGATAAAAAGCTTCTGCAAAATCAGGATTTGCTTTCACAGCTTTTGTAAAAGAATCAAAAGCCTAGACGGGCATATTGTTAAAGCACAAACCACTTAGCAACAGAATGTATTAGTTTAGAAGGTTAATAAATTGCAATATGTAAATTTTGTTGAAAAGTTTCACTCAGTTTTCTAGTAATTTAAAATATATTCTCCCACAGAAAATTTTGGGACAAGCAAATCAATATTTGGAAACAACTTAGATTTAGTATTATATTTAAAAATCCCCTTATTTCCAGGTTAATGTTTACATAATCTATGCTGTTAGATTACAGTGCTTTCAGAGGCATAGTTTTTATCACTAGTTTTTGGATTTTATTCCTTCAAAGAAATTGCAACCAGCATCATTTATTATCCATGGTAGTCTGAGAATCATAGCAGATATATGATTATGAAAACTCAGAACACAGAACTTTAAATTTTTCCCCAATATTGTAAAGCATAGCAAGTTTTCCCTGTTGTCCAAAAGGACTAAAAGTATAAAAAATATTATAATTAATCTTATATTTAATGAACAACTTAGTGGACAATTCTTTTCTTATATGCAAATTTAAGATACTCTCCATCCGGTATATATAAGGAAAGATTGGAATGATGCATGTGTATTTGTGTGATTGTGTATGTATATGCAAAAATGGAGTTGTGGTATATCCAACAATAACCATGGGATAATATCAATTATTTTACATATTCTTCATATCAGTGACCATTTTGAAGTGTGTAAAGTAGTCAAAGGCTGGATAAATCCACAATAATTAACTGGCTTTCAATGAACCTGGCCATCTTAATAACCAGTTTCAATCTGATTGGAATTAATCAGTTCTCAATAAGATAAGTTACAGAGTATTCTAATAATTTCTCTTTTATTCTACAATATGTTAAAGCTCTCAATATAAACTACTTGGAGTTTAATAAGCAGTCATATTAATAATAAAATAACACTGCTTTGCTGTAATAATTTTCTATATTTAGATATTTTTGGTGGAAAACCATATTGGTCTTTAGATTAATTGTCAAAAACTAACATCAAATAAAATGTGTTAATTATATAAAATAATTCATGAGAATTTCAGGGTGCAGACTGACTATATAATAAGCCAACCATTTTAAACTTTTGGTCCAGTCACCCCCTGTATTGTCTAGATAAGCCTCCAGAAATAAAACTGAATACAAGCAACCAGATTCTAAAATCACATAATCTATGCTTCTAAGTACACAAAATACCATTTGGAAGTTGTTTTCTTCTATGTAACAAAGACCCAAGTTATACAGGCACTCTGATGAAAAAGCTGCAGCATTTTGTCCTTTGAGAGAACAAGAACAGATTTCCATTGCCTTCTTAAACATTCTCAGAGCTTCCTAGAATGATAAAAATAAAAATTACATATATATATATATATATACATATATATATGAAGGGACTGTTTCTTTCTGATATTTATTTAACATTACAATCTTCAATGTTAAAAAGAACCCAGATAAGGAAGCTATGTTCCCACTTCACAGGGATCTGATGAAGATCACAGGTCTCACCCAAGAAGAAGACTCAGTTCCATGGCGAGCTCCTGAGTTCCTACCCCATAAACCAGGACTTAGGCTCACTCACATGAATTTTTGAAACTATGTTTTAAATTCCAATAATTATTTTCTAATGGTCTTAATCAGACTTACATTTATTGACCAGTTTATGACCAATTTCCCTGTGTGAAATAATTGAGAAGCTACTAGGTAGTAATAGTGTTGATACATATCTAATATACTTTGAATCAAATAATATACTTTTGAACCAAAAAGACCACCACCATTGGGTAGGTAGAATAGGATCGGCAATGATACTGGGCTTCCTGCCAGAGCAACAGGAGCTGGGGGAGGTCAAAGCAAATATAAAGGAATATTCCTGAAAGAATGAAGAATTGAACAACTTCAAATCTGAGGAATGACCACTGAATTTGCAGTAAGGAACTCACCAATGAAAATAGCAAGTGCACTGCAATCATTTTATATCACTTTAAATTACCACAAATTGAGCATATTAAAGTAACACATTTATTATCTCCCACTTTCCACAGGTCAGGAGATCAAGAATGGCTCACTGGGTCCTCCACTCAGGATTCCACAAAGCTGCAATCATGGTTGTCAGCTGAGCTGCATTCTCCTCTGGAAACCTTACTAGGGGAATCACCTTCCAAGCTTCCGATACACCACTGGCAGAATTAATTTCCTTGATACTCCAGGACTCAGAGTCCTGGCTTCTTGCTAGCAGTTGGCCGCACTCAGATCCTAGAGGCTACCTGAAGTTTACCACCACATGACCTTCTGCATAAGCAGTCACAATCTACAGACTAGCCCTACAGATCAGTCTAAGAATCTCTCTTTCCAGTCTGTTAAAGAGGGAGCCTTAGAAAAATGCAACATAATCAGGGAATGACATTTGTGCCCTGCATACTGGTTAGAGGCAAGTCACACATCCTGTCAACACTCAAGAAATGGAAGGAAATTATACAGGGCATGATTCACTGAGGGCAACTACAGAGTGAGTCTGTCACAGTCCACTTTCTGGGCCCCAGTGACTCCGTATCCCTGCCACATGCAAAATACATTCCATTCCAGTGCCTCCAAAAGGCTCATCTCATTACTCCATCAGATCAAAGTCTGAAATCTCATTATTTAAATCATGTCCAAGTCTGGATGCAGACTTTGAGTATTATTCACGTAAGTACCACTTCTGGGGCACAATTCCTTTCCAGCTAAGGGCCTGTGAAATAAAAGACACAAACTATTTATCTCTGAAACACCCAACGTGCAATGGTGGGATAAGCACAGGATAATATCCACAGCATTCCAGTTCAACGGGGGTGAGGGGAGGGGGAATGGAGGCTAAAAAGCCCTCAGTGGTCCATAGCAGCTCTTTTTTGAGCAGACATCCAGAGTCTCTTGATTAGGTTTCAAGGCATAGAATTATTCTCTATGGCTCTTCATTCTGCCCTGTAGTTTCCTGGTCTTGCCCTCTGGGTCGTTATTGCTTTTTCATAAAAGGTTGAACATGTTTGCAGCTGAGTTATTCTATTAATCTGCTTCCTGTCAGAATGCTTTAGAGGTCTGACAAACTTTCATTTCATACTCTCTCTCTCTCTCTCTCTTGGTCCAAACTGGTTTCTACAGAAATAATTGTCTTAAGAATTTGGAGACCTTTAATGCATTTCACAGGCACTCATTCTCTCCATTAGACAAAAGCCATATTCACTAATTTTTGCAAGAAAATTCCTTCTCTACTTTGGCCTCTGGCTGAGATGCATGAGGGACAATATCCTGAAATCTTTAGAGATCCTTTGGTTAAGATATTTGTATGGCATATCCTCAAAAGGGAGCAGTGTTATACTGAATATGCTGGCTTTACGATCTTTCTGAAATAGGAGCAAAGTATTGTCCAGTTATACCTTGTTCTTCTCACTAGTTAGAACACTTTACTGACAGTGACAATCTTGCTTTTGTCATCTTTTGCCATCTGGAGAGGTAGAGAATTATCATCTGGTAAGAGTCCTGGTTTATTCTGTTTAGCAGTTCTTAACTTCTCTCTCTCCTTTCACACTTCACTATAAGAAGCAAGAATAAACCTGACAACACCCAGCACTTTCAACATTTTACTTGAAAGTTATCTTAACTACATATTAGGATCCTGACTATTTAGTTCTGTTTTCTAAGTAACTACAGGAAACATTTTTGCTACATTAAAAAGATCTTTCTTTCACTAGTTCCTCATCCATAGGTGAGAACCTACTAGCATATCTTAATGACCAGATATCCACCAATAGTCTGTCTGAAGTGATTGAAGCTTTCTAGTCATGCCCCTTAAAAGTCTTCTAGTCTCTGCCCCATTGGTTGGTTTCAAAGCTGCTGCCACAGTTTTAGATATTTATTGCAGAAGCACTCATTATACTTCTGGGCACCAAAAACTGCATTAGTTCCCTGCTGCCGGAAAAAAAAAAAAATCCACAAACTTACTGCCTTTGAAACAATACACATTTACCATCTCACAACTTCCATGGCCAGGAGTCTGTGCAAAGTTTAACCAAGTCCTCTGCTCTGGGGTCTCATGAGCTACAACCAAAGTGCCAATCAGACGGCATTCTCACCTAGAGGTGCAAGTAGGGAAGTATCTTCTTGGGTTTCTAAGGTTATTGAAAGATTTTATTTCCCCATGGCTGTATGACTGAGGATACAGGTTTCTAAAAATACTGACTATTGGAGGTTTCCTGAACCTACAGGCCACAGCAGTTCCCCAACAAGGGATTCTCCACAGCTAGTTCACAGTATGTCTCTTTGCTTCATCAAGGTCAGCAAGAGAATCTATCGCTTCATTCTGCCAAAAGAGGATCATATACAATGTAACATAATAATGGGAGCAAAATTTCATCAACTTTGCTATATTTTCTTAATTAGAAGCAAGTCACAGGCTCCACCCAGACTCAGTGTCATACAAGGGCAAAGCTTGTTGGGGGTCACTTTATGTTGCATCAATCATCACAAGAGGGTAAAAACTAGCCAGATTGTACTAGTGTCAGAATGAGTGGAAAGTGAGGAAATGGAGCCAATGAATGCAGAAAATATTCAAGATTTGTTGTGCCAGAAATGAGAGAAAAGTAAATAATTAGAGGGGTTGAGAGGGTAAAAATGGCACATTTCTGGTGTCTTTTAAATTAAATATAATTATTCGTGATTAAGCACCCAGCCCTCAGTCTGTCTAATGTATATTATTATGCATATTAGGTGCTTAATAAGTAGCATATTATTAGTCCTCTATACTAACTTTGCATTACTGAAGACATGTCAAAAAATATAAAATATAAAAATAAAATTAAATATAAAAATCTGAAAAGGATTTTAAATATAGGAAATTCTCCTTCCACTAACTAGACTCTTTCATACCTCCTAAATATCAATCAAAATCTTCCATTCTGTGAAAAAATAAGATAAGGCTTTATTACAACAACAGTAACAACAGCTGTCTTAAAGATTCCCACTTCAGGGGCTGGCGTTGTGGCTCAGTGGTTGAGCGCTTGCCTCACATGCATGAGGCTCTGGGTTCCATCCTCAGTACCACATAAAAAAATAAAAAACATTAAAAAAAAAAGATTCCCACTTCACCTATAATGCTACTTAGAGTTTCACAGTATAAAGCAATGAATATGAACAATAAACAACTCAGAATTTTAGTAGTTAGGACTTCTGAATCAGTATGGTAGATGAGCTATTTCTAAAGAAATTTCCTCGGAGAAGCTCTCAAAGGAAGTCTTCAGGAAGCATAGACAGAGATGTATATGAGAGCCTAAGTCTGGTGTGAGGCATATACTAAGCAGACAGGAGGGAGGGGTGATGTTGAGGGTAGATGACTACAGTAGCATCACCATCTCGGTTCCATGAAGTGGGTCAACAACAAAGAGGAAGATTTGAGTTTGACACTCATTTATTAAGATATGAGTCAGGACATTCACTGAATTGGAATGTTCAGGGCATTCACTGGATTTGGAATGCTCAGGAGAGCCAAGATGATAATAATTCTTTGCTCCTGAGACAAATCCAATATGGAGGAAATATGGAGGAAAGTGGGACCTATATAGCCACTGTATTCCTACAGATTAAAATTAAGCAAAATGCCAATGAACAAGCACAGAATGAGACAAGACAGTATGAGTAGGAATTGGCAAAACTAACAAACCAGTCTTTGACATCTGAGAATTGTATTGAAATTATCAGGTACAGAATACATGTTTATAAAATATTTTTAAAATAAAATTGAAATCAGGATGATGAAGCAAAAGGAGACAATTAGGATTGAATATGAAGACTTAAAAATGATCAAATGGAACTTCTACAAGTAAAAAGTATTATTCAAATAAAACATGAAGACCAGGCTGAAGAATTTGTGAATCTGAAGGAAATCTTCTTTAAAAAATTATACAGAATGAAGCAAGAGATTAAAATATAAGAGAACATAAGATAAGTGAAGATTAGAGAAGTCAAACCCATATCTGTCCCCAAAAGAGTAAATAGAATGGGAGACAGAACTTGAAGAAATAATAGATTCAAATTTTCCAAACTGAGGAAAGACAGAAATCCACAAATTGAGGAATCATAACCTAGCAAATCAGGAAAATAAAAGTAAATCAAGAATATACAACTTTAGGATTAGGGCTATAGCTTAGTGGCAGAGTGCTTGCCTAGCATGCACAAGGCACTAGATTTGATCCTCAGCACCACATAAAAATAAATAAAGGTATGCTATCCATCTACAACTACAAGAAAGTTTAAATGTATAACTTGATATATATAATTATATATACTTACATAATTTATATTATATCATTAAATAAATTATATAAATATGCATTTATTTATTTTTATGTTTTAAAATATATAGTATTATCATATTATATAATATATTATATGTAATATATTATATATAATATATATGTCATATGTATATACAACTTTATAGAACAAAAGAGAAAATCTTAAAAAATAATCAGAGACAAAAAAAAATATACCAAAAAGGGATAGATAATCTAACAGTAGAATTCTCATTATCAGTAGGAGGTGAAATATCAATAGAAGCTGAATGACAGCATATTACTTTCAAGATGTTGACAAAAAGTAACTTCCAATCTAAAATTTTGTTATAGAATAGTAAAAAGCCTTATCATTGACAGATGTTCATTTTTATTTCAGAAAAAAATAAAAATTATCTCAAAAGAACAGTCTGACACATAAGAAATGCTGAGAAAATAAAATGGAAAGATATGTAAATATAAATATTGGTTCTAAAATAATGGTAGTCATTTCGTATTATAATTTGTAGATCTTAAATACAAGAAAAAAGTATATGTGAATTTGGAAGGAAATAATTAGTGTTAGAGGAGTCTATGATCTTTTTATTAGTCAGGAGAATGATATTGTACTCAGGAAACAATGTTATCTAACTTCAGACATAGCTGCATATGTTTGGCAACATTTCACTAGTAACAAACAAAATGTGAAATGAGAAGATTAAAGAGGAAATAATTTTTTAAAAAATTTAAATTTAAAAATATCAGTACAAAAAGTAAAAAGTAATAGAGATTTTAGAAGAATTGTTGAAAAAGAATAGCAAATATAAAACACCCTAATAAAAGAGAGAGGATACAATTAAAATGACAAAAATCCAAATGGAAGAAAAATCACAGGAACCAAAATTCTCCATGTAAAACAAAAGATATAATCAAAATGAATTTTTAAAAGCCTTTTATAAACTGTTTATAAGACATTCCTATAACCTAGGATTATGGAAAAGTCAAAAGTAAAAGAAAAAAAGACATACATTAAAATACTGTTTTTCAAAATAAAGTAGGTTGTTATGTTTGGAAATAAAGTGTCTCTCAAAGACTCCTGAGCTTAATGTACTACTTCTCCCCAGTGTAACAATGTTCACAGGTGGTGGGGGGGGAGTCTGGGGAAGTGATTGGGTCATGAGGGCTCTCTTACACTGATGGATTCATAAATCGATGGCATTATTAGAAGGTGGTGGAAGCTTTAGGAGATTGCACACAGTTGGAGGAAGTAGGTCCTGGGAGCATATCCAGGGAAGGTACATCTTGTCCCTGGCCCCCTTCCTCCGGCTCACTCTCTGCTTCCCAGTTGCTTAAGTGGTGAGAAGTGCTCCCTCTACCATGATATTCTGTCTTACCACAGACCCAGAAATAATGGAGTCAGCAGACCATGGACTATAAAACCTCTGAAACTGTGAGCCAAATAAATCTTTTCTGCAATAAAGGTGTTTATGTCAGGTATTTTGGTCACAGTGATGAAAAACTAACAGAGCTATAGCATAAACACTGAAAGCATTATAAGTAGTGATAGAGGAGTCACTATGTAATGATAGAAGTTCAGTTCATCAGATAAGTATAATAATTCTAAAATTGAGGATATATAACAAAAATAAATTTTTTGATAATTAATTATGCCTTTCAAAATAAGTAGAGAAAAATTTGAAGGTTCCCAAACCATAGAAATGATAATATTTGAGGAGATGATAATACTAATTGTCCTGATTTTATATATGATATACTAATAATACATGTATCAAATTTCAGTACTGTATTCTATATGTATGTATATGTGTGTTTGTGTATAAACATGTCAATTTTAAAATGTATAAAATTAAAAATAACCTCAAGTTACATAAAATAAAACTTAAAGAATCACAGAGAAAACTTGGTATCCAACATCATTATAGAAGATTTAAAAATACCTCAGTCATTGATAGATCAATTAGTTAAAAATAAGCATGTGAAAAACACATTAAAAATGAGACCTACTAAGCATATATAAAACATATCAATGAGAAAATGCATATTTTTCAGACATGGATGATTTACAAAACTAAGACATGAATAATTCAGAGCATATTTCAAAGAATCAATATCAAGCAGAATATTCATTTTACATTGTATTTGCAACTTAAAAAGAAAAGAAACTTTTTTAAATGTGTTCTTTTTTAAATATTTTTTGATGTCAAAGGACTTTTATTTTATTTATTTATTTGTTTGTTTATATGTGGTGCTAAGGATCAAACCCAGGGCCTCACACATGCCAGGCAAGTGCTCTACCACTAGCAACAACTCAGACCCAAAAATGTGTTTGTTTTTAAAAAATGAAATCCTATCATAAATTTTAAAATATTTATGAAATTGACCATAATTTGTAAATGCTGTTTATTGCTGTAATTTGAATGTATTCCCCCAAAATCACAAACTGGAAACTTAACACCCAATGCATCAGTATTGAGAATGGAACGTTTAAAAAGGAACTATATAATCAAAGGATTAAATGCAACTAGTTGCTAGAATGGTTCATTATCATGAGATTGGGCCTTTATAAAGGACAAGTTTAGAATTCAGCTCCCTATTGTTTTTTTCCTCCTCTCTTGCTCTTTCTCTCTCCCAACACACACCTCTCTTTGCCCTCCAACCTTCTACCATGGAATGACACAGTAAGAAGATCTCCATAAGATGCCAGAACCCTCACTTGAAATTCCCAATCTCTAGAACTGAGAGAAATAAATTTCTAATCATTACAAATTACCCAATCTGTTATTTTCTGTTATGGCAGCACAAAAGAGACTGACACTTATATTATAAAAAATAAAGTTTGAATATTAATGAAATAAGTATCCAATGGAACATTTAAAACAAGTAACAAGGAAATATCCCTTTCAATAAAAGTAGCAGCCAGAGACTAATAAAAGATTTCAATGAAACAGAAAATAATACAAACCAAGTAAGTATTAACCTTCTACAAATCTGATAAAGATACAAAACAACAAAAAGAAAATGACAGACCAATATTTCTTATGAACACAGATCAAAAATCCTCAACACAATACTAACAGGTCAAATTCAACAGCACATTAAAAAGATCATATGCCATGATCAAGTTGGCTTCATTTCAAGGAAGCAAGAGATAGCTCAACATATGCAAACTGTGGAGAGACACTGAAGAAGACACTAGAAAGTAAAAAGATTTCCAATGTTTATGGATTGGGAGAATTAATATCATTAAAAATGCCAAACTACACAAAGTGATCTACAGATTCAATGCAATCCACATCAAAATTCCAATGACATTCTTCACAAAACTAGAAAAAAATTCTAAAATTCATTTGGGAACACAAAAGACTCCAAATGTCCAAAGCAATCCTGAGCAAAAACAGCAGTGCTAGACACACTACAACACCCAATTTTAAAACATACTGCAGAGTAACATTAGCAGCATGGCATTAGCATGTAGGCCAGTGACAGACTGCCCTAAACCCATGCCTCTTTGGCCAACTAATTCACAACAAAGGTGCCAAAATCATACAAAATCATAAAAAGGACAGCCTCTTTAACAAATGGTGCTGGGGAAACTTGGATATTCACAGGTAGAAGATTGAAACTATCTCTCACCCTGTCCAAAAATTCAATTCAAAATGGATCAAGACCTTAATGTAAGACTTGAAACTTTGAAAGTACTAGAAAAATATAGGGAAAACATTTCAAGACACTGATACCAGCAACAATTTCCTAAATCATACTCTAATGGCTCAGGAGGCAAAAGCAAAAAAAAAAGTGGGATTACATCAAATTGAAAAGTTTCTGCTCAGCAAAGGACACAATCAACAGAGTAAAGAGACCACCTGCAAAGATGAATCTTTGCTAGCCATTCATCTGACAGAGGACTAATATCCAGAACATATAAAGAAAATTTAAAAATCTAACAACAAAAAAAATGTAATTCAATCAAAAATGGACAACGGATTTGAACAGACACTTCTCAAAAGAAGTACAAATGGCTAATAAATATATAAAATTAAAAGCTCAATACTTTTATTCATCAGAGAAGTGCAGATCAAAACCACAGAGATTCCTTCTCACCCCAGTTAGAATAGCCACTATAAAAAATAAATAAATAAATAACAATTATTGGGAAGATATGGAAATAAAGGAATAAATGTACACTGTTGGTGGGAATGTAAATTAATATAACTACTATGGAAAACAGTATGGAACTTCCAATAAATAAACAAACTACCTAACTAACTAAACACAGAACTCCCACACAATCCAGCTGTACTACTCCTGGGTATACACCTGAAGGAAATGAAGTCGGCATACAGAAAGAGATATCTGGAAGCCCAAATTTATTGCAGTGCTATTCACAATAGTCAAGATACAGCTGTCCATCAACAGATTAACAAATAAAGAAAATATGGTATATATACACAATGGAGTGTTATTCATTCATAAAGCAGAATGAAATCATGTTATTTGCAGGAAAATGGATAGAACTGGAGTATATCATGTTAAGCAAAATAAACCAGACATAAACAAGTACCACATACTTTCTCTCATATGTGGAAATGGGGTGGGGGGGGAGAAGATGACCTAAATGTAGAGGAAGGATGGTTATGGACTGAAGGGGTCCAGGGAGTGAGAACACAGAAAAGAGAGAGTAAAAAAAGAAGGGAGGATGAATATGGTCAATACACAATATATGCATTACACATATAGGAAATGTCACAGTAAAATCCATTAATTTGTACAGTTAATATGTTAAGAATTATAATAATAGAAAAATGAAAAAGTAATTGCAAAGTTTAATAAAAGACTGAATAAATAATATAATAAATACTAGTATAAAATTAATAGTATGTAAATAATATAGAGTTGTAAATAATATTTAAATGTCATACTAAGCATGATATATGAATTTCATTACTAGGTTTAGTAAACATTACTCAGAGGACCTTTCACCTTGAATTTCTTGGCCTTCATTAGTGTTTTTGCTATGATAAACATGATTACTTCTGGCTTACTCCACAAGCTCTCCTCCAAGACCTGAATAGCCTTCTCATGGTTTTCACAAAATGAATAAATGATTGCTTGTTGTATTGGGTTCAACTCAATGAGACCTAAGAGAAAAGGAAAATTTATCAGTACCTTTGCCAAGTATGAAGGATTTCAAATAAAATTATTTTAACAAAATCAAGCAATTAAAAAAATCTCTTTATAATATGAATTTTCTTTTTTTTTTTTTTTTTTTTTTTGGTGGACACAACATCTTTGTTTGTATGTGGTGCTGAGGATCCAACCCGGGCCGCACGCATGCCAGGTGAGCGCGCTACCGCTTGAGCCACATCCCCAGCCCCTGAATTTTCAATATTATATGAAAATCTATTTACTTTCAAGAAACATAAGACATTCCAATTACAAAAAAAAAACCAGCAAAATTGTAAGCCTAGTAAGTCCTATAAAAATAACCTCTTTCACAAAGTTCATTGTAATATATTGTGAATCATTTTACCAATTTATTTGCATATAATCTGAAGTTTCCAAATCTTTGTCTTTCAACTAAAACCTTTATGCCATCTATGTGTAGTTACTGAAAGTAGTACAAAAGTTCTAAAAAAAAGATATTTCTTAAATTAAAACAATTATAATTTTCAATTAATTATATTTACCACGGTTCATTTCTGCTACTTGATAAATAGTGAACTTTGCCAGATCATAACACTTCATCATAAGAAGATATTGTCCTCTGGAAAAAAAAATTTTTTTTGATTCTAAGCTGATAAAAATAATTTTTCTAAAGTAAAGTTTCTTATACTCAGTTACTTAAAATTTTACAGCTACAATACATTGATTATATTTATATATGCATGCATAAAAGGCAATACATTACAGACATTTTATAGTCTAAATAGACCTATTTACATGGATGTGTGATGAAACAATTTAGAAAATATGACGCTACAAGAAAAATAGTCATCTCTTTTTGTAATTATCTGCATTTAAACTACTTTACTTTGTTGCTGAGAAATTACTTAAAAATTAAAATTTAAGGGACATAAAATGAGGAAAACTTTCCATAAATTGCTAAAATGTGGTTCAAGGCTTAAAACACAAAGCAAGCATTCTTCAGAAAAAAAAAATTGTTCTAGCTGGGAATATAACTCAGTGGTAGAGCATTTGTCTAGCATATATAAAACCTTGGATTCAAAGTCCAGTACTGAAAAAAAAGTTCCACTTTCTTTTCCCAGTTCCATTAATCCTTAGAGACTATATTTTTGGAAGTAATAATTTGTAAAATGTCTCCTTAGTCCAAGTTCTACTACATTTCAAATGCAATTCTTGTGCCACTTATTTTTTTTATGGAATTAGCTAACAATTATTTGGGGCACCTCTGTTAACATATTCAAAACAACTGTTCAAAATATATTACCTTGCTCTCGTGAGATACGTACTAACTACATAACCATCAACCTAGAAAGGCCTAAAGATCTTAAACTTGCAGTTATGTTTTGATGCAAGGGAAGATCCAGTTATATTATGTAATGTTATCTTAAAGTTTAGCAAAAACAAGAATTGCCTCTGGCTTGCTGGCTGGGAGATGGCCATTGCCCAGAGAGTAAATGTAAAATGAGGAAGTTAAAGAATCAAGAGAGAACTAAAGATCCCAACAGATTGCTCAGATGTGAAGTTATCTTAAGAATTCAATTTCTATGCTCATACCTTATTATATACAATTGGACTCCATCTGGCTGAAAGTGAATGGCACGAGATAACTCCTTGACTGCCCTTTTCAATTTATGCAGCTGTTGAATAATAAATAAACAGAAACTTGGGTTCTGGTAAAACTGAGTATTTCCTTTCTGATGTTTATCCCCTCATACCCTTTCCTGCAGAAATTTTGCAGGGACATCCCCTAATACACATGATTTTCTAAAGAATCATCAAAGCAAATGGGATATAGAAAAGTTAAAAAAAACAGTTATGGTGCAAGTTGGTTTTTAAAAATTATTTATCTTTAATTTGAAGAATAAACATACATATATATAATTTTACATTCTAGTTTGTGTGTTCATTCCTTTTTCATTTAACTTTTTAGTTTTTTTTCTCAACCACAACACCAAAATTCACTTATTAGTAAACTAGCATACAAAATAAAGTAAAATAAAAAGTCAATTTCACTTAATAAGGGAGGATGCTGGAAGCAGTGGTACACTCCTGTAATCCCAGCAGCTCATGAGGGACAGAAGGATCGCAAGTTGAAAACCAGCCTCAGCAACTTAGTGAGGCCCTAAGCAACTCAGTGAGACCCTATCGCTAAATAAAATATAAAAAGGGGGGAATATTGCTCAGTGGTTAAGCACCCCTGGTTTCAATCTCTAGAAAAGCAGATTTATACCAAAATTAAAATTAGATAAATAAATAAAAATATAATAATTGTATAAAAATATCCATTTAATATCAATGTATAAAGAAAAACAAGCACTGATTCTTTTATTAATACTGGCCTCACAAACATAAACTGAATTTGTATATATCTGGGGACAAAATCACTATCATTGTAGATACCACTAAAGGAGCACTACGTGGTGACAGAAAATTAACCTGGGACAACCAACCACTCCCCTAACCATAATGACTGATGAAAAAAAGAGAATGCCCAAAATTAATTTGTACATGGAAACAAGCAAAACCTGCAGAAACAGTATAAACCATTTGGAAGAAATAGTGGATAGGGTCAAAAGAGGAAGCCCATAAAGAGAAGAAGTCTGAGATTCATTTAAACAAATTTAAGAATTTCTGTGAAACTTTCTGGCCATTGTGTCATAAGCAGCCTCTGCTTGGGTTGGTTCGATTAATATACCATCCAACCAAACATGCACACTGCTATACCTGTTCTACCAACTGTCCATGTCTATGCATTGGGGAAACCTTGTTTTGGGACAGATGTAGCTTCCCTGGGTTTGGACCTCTCCAGGAAGCCCCCAGGCAGCCTTAGATTAGATTCCCAAGGAAGCTGAAAAGCTGAACCAACACAGTAGGAGAACGTATTCCTCTACATATATACACAAGGTTTGATTTATAATTACTTGATTTACATGGGATCATATTGTACACACTTTATATTCTTCTGTATCTTGCCTTTTTCCTAATATTTATTTTTTAGTCATAGGTGGACACAATATCTTTATTTCATATTTATGTGGTGCTGAGGATCAAATCCAGTGCCTCGCGCATTCTAGGCGAGCGCTATATCTCTGAGCTACAACCCCAGCCCCTGAATCTTGCCTTTCTTACTGACATATATCTCATGGGGAAAAAAAAAAAAAAATCAGTCAGCTGTCATGGTTCTGCTCTTTTCAAGGACTGTTTTATTTCAGTGTGCATATACTACAGTGCATACACCCATTACTGTGCACAGATTGATTTTTCCTCTCAGTACAAAGAGGCAATTGTCTGATTGTACGTCCTTTAGCCCCTGCTACCATGCTGGTGTTTTGGTTTCTGTGTGTGTTCAGGGGAAACACCAGCTTCCTCAAATGGCCTGAGCTTCATTGATGGGGTTAGATTAAGTAAAAACTCACACACTGCAAATATGTTCGCATCTTTCCTAATAGGAGTCAAAGGCAAACTTTTCCTAGGGACCAGACTGAACGTATCTTGGATCTTCTGCTTCTGTCATCCAGAAGGTAAGAATTTTGCATGAGACTCCAGTCACAGGAGACCCTGAGACATGGGCAGCAGACAGCATATACTCCAGGTAATCCTCAGTGGACAGGTAGTAGAAGAAAAAAACAAGCCTTTGTTGTTTTAAATGGTGATTTTGGAGTTGTTTTTTACCACAGCATAACCTAGCCTATCCAGACTGGAACTAGCTTATCCAGAGGACTTGTAGAAAAGAGGAGGATTACATTTATTTTAAAATTTAACTTGTAAAAATTTACAGGAAAGTTTTAATGGTTAGATTACCATGCTACACAGAGATCCCATTCTATGAACCCACTCACTCACCAGTATGCCCATGCACAAAACATTAGAACAACAGATTCCAAATGTTAATAGTAGTTATCCCTAGAGAATATGGACCATTTTTAATTTATTACTTTTCATTAAACTTATTTATTTATTTATTTATTTATTTATTTTTAATTTGGATAAATACATTACCTATAATAAATACATATTGCTTTTAAAATAAGGAAAAAACATACAGTATTATTTTTAAAATGAAAGACAATAAAAACGCACATCTCATAAGCAGAGACTTTGTGAGTATGTAATTATAGTTAACTACGCATGCTTAACATTTATAGCTTATAAGCCCATTTGTTTCTATAGTTAGCTAAGGAAAATAATACATTAAAATATTTAAAATTAATTGAACAGATAGCCATAAAATTAAAATTTGTATTCAAAATTCTCAAACACTAAATACCTTATAATAGGCTTCTGCTCTACAAATATAGCTTTGAATACACGAAGGATCAATTTTAATAGCCTCAGAAAACCAACAAATAGCTTCATTGTAGTTTTCCAGGTGTAGCAGATATATGAGGCCAATGTTTATGTAAGCCAAAGTAACAGTTCTAGGAAAACAGGAAAATAAAATCGTGTTAGACATTTTTAATTATTCAAAATGTTCTCCAATTATGAATGAACCTAATGAAATATATACATCAATATAATCAGGGTTTTTTAATGTTTTACCAAAGAAATATGAATTAGTTAACTGCTATGCTCTATTAAAAAATTATAAATGCCCTTTATTAAATCCTTGGAGTTAACAATTGTAGAGACTATGCTAGGAACCGAATTCATGGAGTCTCCTAGACTCTTATTAATACTTTATTGCTCCTTGACTTAATCTTGAGTTACCTTGAATTTCAAGCTCAAGTTTTCCTCAATTCAAAAGTCTCTACTTAAAGCTATGAATAACAGTGAAAAACCATATGTGCATTGATGTTTGTTGCTTTTCTCTCTTAGAATCAAAAAATATTCAGTATAGAGATGACCTTAGACATTATCTTGTTTGATGTCTTTTTCAAAATAAGGAAACTACACATTTAATGATCCAATCTCAGGGAACCCCTAACCACAGTTCCTACCACCTACTTTCTGTCTCTTTGCACGAGAAAAGTCTTTTCTTTTCCTATCTGGCTCAAAAAGGTCCAAAAGAAAATCACGACAGTCATTATGGAACTATCCTCCATGACTTTCTGGAGACAAGTTCAAAGTTCACATTAGATAGCTAAGTAAACAGTCTGCTAGTCAACATAAAATTAGCTTGATTTGTTACTCTGACAACTTCCATTTAATGAACACTTCATTGGAAAGAAGGGAATTATTTAATTAAAATCTGTATTTTACATCTGGCTCTTTGACTAATATGTCTGACTTTCAATCCGTGTTCCTTCCTGAAACTATGCTCTAAATGTTACTGGCTTTTTCCTTTGCTTTACTAAAAAATGAAATCAGGAGCTCAAAATAGAGGATTTCTTTCCACTGAGTTGTATTTTGTGCATAGCAATGATACATTAAGCAGAATATTTGTCATTATTTTAAAACTTGATAATGATTTTCCAGAAATTTCCAAAAGCTCTAGCCTGGGTATCTTCCAACCCCTCCTAAGAGCTTGTTGATTTATTATCTATGGAAATAACTCCTTTGAAACCTATTCAACCTCTCACCTAACACAGACAATTCTTATTTTAGCAGTAGTCTAATTTTAGTGGTATTCTAATTCTAGAGTGATTTTATAATTGCCTCATTTTAAGTTATCAATGATAAGGGGAAAAAACTGTTTCTTTTATTTTGTTTTTTTTTTAAATTTTTAAACAAAAGTAAAACCAGTATGAAAATAAAACATACCTTTCTAGAGAAATAACAGCTTCAAAGTCACAAATTGCCAGCCACCAAAGTTTTAGATTTACATAGACTATGCCCCGATGTAGAAAACAACTAAAATTCTCATAGCCGTCATTTAGGAGAACTTTAAAATAAAAGAATATGTTTTATTCAGGTTTTGAACAATCATATCTGGGTCAGATTTCAGCCTACACCCTTTCTACTGCTTATTCTTTTTTAACATTACATAAAACAAAATATATCTATGATGAATGTATTTTGTGAGTATAAACAGTATTGAACATAGAAAATGCATTTGTTTATTAGTTAACAATGTGGCTATTAAGGCTCACAAACCCATTAAAACTGGAAGAAATCCTGGTGGTAATCTAATGGAGTCCACTCACTTTCCAGAGAAGGAGATTAAGGTTCAAGGGGGCCAGGTACATTGACCAGAGTCATGATGCAAGGCATTGGCAAAGTTGGGCGTAGAATATAACTCCCGTCAGAAGAGTGTCATTACCCTTGACAGCCTGTTATTATCACAAAGACACTGTTTCTGGCCAAAGAACAGGTTCAGGTACCAACCCAGATCAGGACATATGGCAGAAGTCAGGCTTATTCATAAACCATGAAATGTAGCCACAAAGGAGCTCCTCCAAGGCAGGCAAAACTTAGCAAGGAGGCAAGCAACTTGACTATGAAATCACAATTTACATGATAAAAAGAACCTCCTCTTGGTGATTCCAGTGTGCAGCTCTTACCAGTAACCTGCCTAGAAGTCACCTTAGGTCTCTGGCTGACTGACTCTCATTCACTTTAAAAAATAAGTTAGTGTGTTAAATATGTTTTACACAAGGTTTGACATATATCTTCTAAACTTCTGAAGCCTTCCTGGGTTAGGAAGAAAGTTTTGCCAAAAATATTCACAGTCTGGAACACAAATATTCTCACTTCTGAGTTTGAGGAAGGGTAATCAGCATCTGCAATGATCCTAGAGTAAGTAAATGACCACCTGAATGCCATATGACTGCTCAGTTCACAGCATGGTAGGCTAGCAAGGGAAAAAGCACTACAGTATGGAAAGTTGCTCTAAAACAATGGGGGAATTCTTAAGGAAAAAGTATTAGAGTTACTTAACCTTTCTATTCTTAGGCTTTACTATCAATAGAATTTAGATGATGATAGCACCTACCTGATGTCATTGTTTGAACTGTCATTAAGATATTCCATATATAGCACTTAGAACAGTAACAAAATATCCAATAAATGTTAGAGATTATTATTATTATCCTAGAAAATATCTTGAGGATCCTTTTTGGTCACGAATGATAAAACTTGCTAAGCTATAGGAAAAGACTAAAGCCAAAATCAAGTTGGTCTACTCTGAACAATTAGATAATAGAGATTTTAAATTATCGTTTGATAGTCTAGAAAGCGGAGAACTAAAGAGGCGAAAGTTGGAAAAGAGGAAAATATGAGGAAAAAGCCTTTAGAGAAAGACCAGAGAGAAATAGATTCAGCCAGATGGCAGGGCCGTATGAGACAGGCCGATAGAGCCAGGAAAACCTATAGAGGTCTTTAAGTTGTGTGTGCCACATTTATCCTCCTAACTCTAAGCTGTTCTGTATTATGCATGAATTGTTTCTGTTGATGCTACTTTGGTGACTGAGGGAAAGACCTAGGAAGAATCGAAGCAGAGAGAACAGCAGCTATAAGAAGTAAGAAGGCTAGCGATGTAGAATCAGCTGAGGGCAGAAATTAGACTCAGAGATGATGAGATCATTGAATGAAAATCTTCAGCATACCTTCCCAAGAGTCCTTAGAAAGAGAAGGCAGAGCACTAGGCTCCTTTCAGGAGACAACAGGGCTATTTTAGCTGAATATTATTGGACAAGATGACTTCAGGAGGCAAAAGGACTTAGAAATATTTTAGCAGCAATTATCTTAGCCAGACTCCCACAGTAAGTCTGTGGGAAATAGACAGATAGAAGGAAATCTATCTCTTCTTAATTTCCAGATAAAGAGAATCTAGAACGATTAGATTCTACAATTTTGCACCTGGGTGAGCACAGTCATTGGAGAGTTGGGTTCTGGCTGGATTTCATCTGCTAGGATACGCTCAATCCATGTCACTGTTAACTATTTACTGGTCACTTACTCATGATCAAGAATTGTGCTGGACACATATAAACCAGGCATACATTGACTGAGGGTAAAGAAGACATTACCATTTTTGGCTGTTAACATACTTTAGCTTCTGAGATGTCTCAAAGCCTATTTTTAATTTAAGCATCAAAAATATGGAATTTGACAAATCCATGGGCTGACTTAGAATAGGATCCAAACCACCAGGACAGTTTAATGCCATTTAAGCAAGCTAACTAGGAAATAAGATGGAGTTTCCAGAATGGTTTCCAGAACTCTATTTACAGAAAGATTTCCTTAACACAATAATTTCCCCTTGTCATAATTACAGAGAAACATATGCACACATTCATTTACTCACACATACCAAAAGGACATTTTAGAATGCTTCTAGCTCAATCATGTGGCTTGTAAGTGTATTTATATAATATATATAAATACACACTGAGACCCAGTCTCAGACGGCCTTGCCATCTGGCTGAATCTATTTCTCTCTGGTCTTTCTCTAAAGGCTTTTTCCTCACATTTTCCAATTTTCCAACTTTCGCCTCTTTAGTTCTCCCCTTTCTAGACTATCACAATAATTTAAAATCTCTATTATCTAATTGTTCAGAGTAGACCAACTTGATTTTGGCTTTAGTCTTTTCCTATAGGCTAGCTTAGCAAGTT